CCCCAAAACCCCAAAACCCCAAAACCCCAAAACCCCAAAACCCCAAAACCCCGAGATTATTCGGTGAAATTGGATTTACATAAAAGTATAATTTTAATAAGCATTGGGGGAGGTCACTTGAAATGAAGTGTAGATATCCATCTCTTCATCAAGAACCTCCACCACAATTTTATCAAGCTTAATTTTCTCTATCATCGATTTCATCTGATCGATTGCAAGTCCATTATCTCACAGTTCAATTTTCTCAAGGGAGGTTTTGATACCTATTTTGGAAATCATCTTTAGAATTCCTTCGAATTTTTCATTGTGCTCACTCCAATTACTATAGCGCATCTGACCTCACTCAATAAATGTCAGGGTCTTCATGTAAAACTTTTTCATTGATTTTTCCTTAATTTTGTAACTGTCTATAGTGCATCTTGTAAATTTTAGTTGCTTCACCTTAGTGCAACTCGGAAACAGAGCGTTAAAACCTTTCTTATTAATAATGAACCCGGTCAAGGAAATCACCTCTGAAACCTGAGGAGCGATCCTTAGGAAACTGTCAAGGTAGGAATCGAATTTTTTGAATTTCTGATAACTGTAATGATCAAATAGTAATTTCTTGATATCTTGCAAGCCCAGAGCATCCAGAAAGGTGACTACAGCCTTCGATGTCGCTTTAGGGAGGTTATTCAGGATGACTTCATCTAGATTCTGGATCTTTAGTTTCTGGAGTTTCTTAACCTCCTTTATGAAGCTATAAGTCTCGTTTTTAGCAAAATCAAGGCTTAATAGTATTTTCTTAAACTCCAGCGGCTGTCTGAGGTCGTATTTGTTAACAAGTTGCATACTTATTCTCTGGTCTAAATTTTTGATAGGCGGGGTCGAAGCCCCTTTCTTTGATCTTCCAACAAGGCCAAGAGGGCTGGCTTTCATTCTCTTTGGCATAAAACTACAAATTGATCTTTCTCTCTCCATTTGATATAAAATATGAAATATTCTATTTCTCCTAGGTTATCTGGGGTTTTGGGGTTTTGGGGTTTTGGGGTTTTGGGG